GATGACGCAATACCAGCTTCAGATTGCATCGTTCATTGTTTTGCCTAAAAAGCAAGTACTGTCCAAACCCAGTCAAAGATGTATTCATAGATCCAGTCAAAGATGTATTTTAGTCATTTCTGGTTTAAATTGAGATCCCTTCCCTTTATAACTCACTTATCCCCCGCCATTCCCAAGTCAAGGGTCATATATACTGACCCAATAGCATATCTTGAAAACTAGAGCCAATCAACAATTTTAAGCATCATTTTCGTTCTCAGTGACCCAGAATTAGTAAAGTTTGACTACATTTATTTCAGAAGCATTTTGGCTGTAGAGCAGTGTAATCAAATACAATTTTTTTTTCTTAACACAGTCACCCTGGAGGGCTCAAGTTGGACACCCCTGCTTGTACTCTTAACATCACTTTGCTCTCTGAAGTTGAGCACTTTGTCAAAACAGACCATTAATAAATTTCTTTAAAATGTGCTAGACCTGACTTGTAGGGTCAGAGCAAAAGGCCACTGAAATCAGTCACTGACTTAGATGGAACGTCGGATTAGGCCCTTAGAGCAGCAAATTCTTCTGTGGCTCACTTCTGTCCCATTGAAAGCAATGGGAGTTTTACCACTGGCTTCAAGAGGAGCACAATGAGGCTCTGGGATAGCTTGCAAGCTGTGGTTTGGTGCATCACATCACAAGACAAACAGCCCCTCTCTCAGACTATTTGTTAGCTTTTCTGCAACCCAGCATAAAAAGATCTTTCCTTCTCTTGTAACAAATGAAGAGGGGATGGGAGAGTGTCGGGGATCTAGAGATGTTAGCCACATACCACATTTCCAGCAATCAAAACATCCAGGGGAGAATAGGGTGAAGTCAACCGCAATACCTTTCTCCTGACCTCTTCCTCATCATCAGTCCTGATATATGATGGGTCATTCATCAATGGGCTGATCAGTGGAGAAGACTGCTTGGCATCAGGGCTCAAGTTTGGAGATAATGACATATTTGCCACCACTGGCGCTCCTTGAGAATTGATTGAGAGCTCTGAAAGGTGAGGGCTGCCAGTCAGAGAACCTGCTAAAGAAATGATACAATAAAAATGCAGTTAGTATGGGACGTCTCCAGGCAGCTAAAAATGACTGAATCTTAAACCACAGTGTGGAAATTATGCTAAAAAGGCACAAGATCCCAGATCCTTAGCTTGTGTAAATGGACGTAGTGTCACTGAAGTCAATGGAGCTGCAACCATTTATATCAGCTGAAGATCTGGCCCCGTGCTCATTTAGTTGCTAAAACTGGAAGAATTACAGCCATTATAAAACTAGAGAGCCAGGTACAAATAATTCAGTTGCATATGTTAATATTAAATATCAATTCATGATGAGCTCTTCACCATAGCATCCTACTCTATGGAAGAGAATGCGTAGAACAGATGAATGTTCTCAGTTTTACAGTTAGTTTAAAACACAAAGAACATCATAATAAATAAGCCAACCTATGGCTCCTGTTTTTCCTCCTACAACATAACTCCAAAATGCAAATGACCTAAAGTACTTCACTGGAAGCTGTGGGAAAGATATTAGAACAAGTACATCTAGAGGGAGTCTAGGAAAAACTAGGACTTTCTATGGCAGTATTGTACTATGCAAAGTCAATCACATCTAAAATGGAGGGAGAAAACTACTAGCTTCCCATTTCTACACACAGCAGAAGAACATGTATTATTATACCTTGTAGGGTCATTCCAAGCTCCTTTGATTGTTTGGGATGGAAATGCTAGCATTACATTCGCACAAAAAGGTATTCTTTTTAACACACAAAGCATGACAATTTTAGTTGATCACAGCCATAAAGCCCCATTATATTTTGTATAGTAAAAAAAATTATGACAGTAAATTATACTTCTGTAGGTTGAGATATACTAGTGTTGAAATTAGTGGTTTGTCTCTTGGAAGGCAGCCAGATTACTGACTGTGCAAATGAAACAGCTTGCCAAAAAAAAAAACAGCATCTTCCCAATTAAGCTGAAGACGTGCCATGAAAAGTCAAATCTGTTAAAAGCTATGCTACCATGAAATGTTTACAGCCCATATTGTTTAGTTTGGGCTTCATACTTTAAAAACTTCAATGGAGAAACTAACAAGCTATCGATTCCCATAGCTATGTTGACCAGAATGAAAGTGAATGCAAATGTTTGCATATCCATATATTTAAGGTCAAGGGCTTTTCACCATGAGCACTTTTCTGGAGTATATTATTTAACTATTAGTTCCCCTGTTACAACAACACAACTCAGACACTTCAATAAATAATGGCATCAATACATATAATTAGGCCAGTAGGATGAGTGCAAAACATTTCGTGAAAGGGCTCAGGTTTATTGCTACACCGTACTTTTTTTTTTGCATCCCAGAAGTGTACATATATCTTAGTGTACAATGTTATTTGTTTAGATATCTATGACAATTATGTACCCTATTATACAACAAAGACAAAGGAATATTTGCCTGAAATAAAACGTTTTTATATTACTGTAACTAACAAGAAAGAATTTACCCACAGTTCCACACTAAATCATTGCTCAGTGAAATCTGAGAGAAACGCCATAGATTGTTACACAACTGTCAATTTTATTGACACTAGTACACACCTGTATACAATTTTTTCAAAGGAAATGGAATTCATCATATAGTGAAACAGATTAGTAGTGAAGTTGTAGGTTTAAAGTACTAAACTATACTTTGTAAAAGACATAGGAAAAGTGATATCGCTTCTGACGTAAGAAAACAGAAATTCTGGCACTATGCCGGTCACACGACAGTGAATAGATCATTTGCACCTCTGTGAGAAAGCCTCAGGTGTTACATGGTAGAAATTGAACACTACCTCCTATGAGACATAACTGAGGCCCTAACATTAATGTAGGGGAAAATCTATGTCAAATTCAATTTGACTGATGTGGTTCGAGCTGTAAAATACCAGATGAAGGAATTAACTTAAAATGCTTCCCAGCTTAAGATGTGGGCGCTCATAGTTTGTAAGAGGTATCATTGTTAGTTTCCTCATGGAGCACAACATTTAGCATCTGCTCCATCAGTGAAAGACTTGCAGAAAAGATACTATTTATTTTAGACATTTGGTATTTTGCAGAAAAGTAAAATACTACATTCTCATTCAGGGGCTAATAGGAACATTAATGATGACCAAAGAAATCCAAACACTACCACCGACAGACAGGAGTGTATTTATGCTAATGTTTTCCCATTTTACATGTTGAATGATAACTACAAGTTAAAACTAGCCCCAAGGGAGTGGTTATTACATGGAAGTGGCCCAAAACATTTAGTGATGCATTAACAGGTCTTGATTACTACAAATATAGTCTAAACACAAGAATAAATTGGATTTTGCTTTTGTCAAAATAAATAATTGACTTGCTGTACTGTGATAAAGCAAACAGGCCAGGAAGAAATGAAAAGGAAGGTCCTCCCTGCTCAGGTTGTTGGGTGCTCTGGGCAGCATACTTCTCAATATTTGCAAGATGAGCTTTTAGAAATTTGTATTTTGTAAATGAGGGACCATGTTAAATGCAATTATGCATGTGGGTCCTCTCTATCTCCAGAGGCTCTGGAGGTTTTTCGCCTTCCTCCGCAGCATGGGGCAGGGATCACTAGCAGGGGGGTTCTCTGCCAATTGAAGTCACTAAGCCACAGGATTTGGGGACTTCAACAGCAGAGTCAAGGGAAGGGGTAGGGACGGCTTTGTGGCCTGCAGCATGCAGGGGGTCAGACCAGATGATCATAATGGTCCCTTCTGACCTTAAAGTCTATGAGTCTATCTTTTTATGGTGATTAGGTGTAAGTACCCTACATTAGTCATAGGGTCTTCTCTCAGCATCTCCTCTGCACTCTTATCATACAAGGGTAAATACAGATATGCTTTATTCATTGACTACAAAACAAGTCAAAAGGAGCAGAAGTGAAAGGACCAACATTATTTAAATAATACAAAAATTGCTCATATCACATCCATTGAAGTTCTTTGATTAATGAAAATTTAGTTCTCTCTCAGCCACTTCATATCAATTATCAGAGATCAAGTGATGCTGGTTGGATCGCTAAAGCCAAAAGGTTACTATTAATTTTGCCAGTTGTTTGCTCATAATTTGGTGCATTTTTATTTACTTAGACTGGGCTTGGGCTCATTCATCACAGAACTATAGGGGCAGTCATCTAAGAGGGGGTGCATTAGGTTAATCAAGAACATTCCTGTGTTATCTAGGGCACAGTTAACATTACTAGCAGTCAATAAGGCCCCAGTTAAGGAGAGCATCCCTGTTCTGGATAGCACTTAAGCATGTGTTTAACTGCTGCTCTGGAAAGTGAAGAATTCAGCAAGTGCTTAAATTCTTTCCTGAATTAGGACCTAAGCAAGGTAGTGGCTGTTCAATGTAGGATTAACCACTCCAGCAACTAATGATAATGCTCGTTTCCTTTCAGAATTTTCATTGTATGTCAGAATATCCAGTCAATGCCAAATACATCTGGGTTGCTTTCTTAGTTGCATTGAGCAAGCTTAGTCCGATTCATCTGACAAATGCTGGGGTGAGAGAAAGGATTGCAGAATGAAAATAAATATCAACTGAAAGAGAATGTGAATAACCAATGAGAGGATAAGAACATAAGATTGGCCATACTGTGTCAGACCAAAGGTCCATCCAGCCCAGTATCCTGTCTCCCGACAGTGGCCAATGCCAGGTGCCCCAGAGGAAGTGAACCTAACAGGTAATCCTGCCATCCAACTCCACCCTCTGACAAACAGAGGCTAGGGACACCATTCCTTACCCATTCTGGCTAGTAGCCATTAATGGACTTAACCTCCATGAATTTATCTAGTTCTCTTTTAAACCCTGTTATAGTCCTAGCCTTCACAACCTCCTCAGGCAAGGAGTTCCATAGGTTGACTGTGCGCTGTGTGAAGAAGAACTTCCTTTTATTTGTTTTAAACCTGCTGCCCATTAATTTCATTTGGTGGCCCCTAGTTCTTATATTATGGGAACAAGTAAATAACTTTTCCTTGTTCACTTTCTCCACACCACTCATGATTTTATATACCTCTATCATATCCCCCTTAGTCTCCTTTTTTCCAAGCTGAAAAGTCCTAGCCTCTTTAATCTCTCCTAATATGGGACCCATTCCAAAAGATACTAGGACTTTAAAGTCTCATGAAACATAAGGACAAGGTGGCATAATGAATTAATATATTTAACATACCTCAAACAACCGAGGTTAAAATACATCTTCCACGCACAAAGCAAAATGGAGCCATTGGTCACAATCAAGAACTTTGAGGATATGTTGCATGACCACTTCAGAACATACACAACTATCTGTTATTCTCCTCTTAGGAGAGGCCTATTGCTGGTATAGCAGGGGTATGGTATGACAGGTCGGAGCTGGAGTACATTACTGCTGGAGGAGTGGGAAAGGTTGCATACAGCACTTCGGTACAGTCAGGGCTCTTAGTGTCCTTTTCATGAGACCAGGTATAGTTAATTTAAAAAAAATAACCTACAAATATTCCTAAGCAGGGACATATGATAAGTATTTAGAAACACTCTCCCTCATGTGAACTCTTATTAAGGATGAAAATCTCAGTCCTACTACTAGGGATTATAACTGCCTGGTCCCTGTGTGGGCACAATGGCTGGGTGGAGGGGTAGAAGACTTCTGTGCCAGTCTCCCCTTCCACGTCTGCACAACAGCTACCTACAAATCTGATCCTAGAGATTTAAATCTGTAGCAAGATATTTCACCCTAACATTGAAAGAACAGTGCAAAGTCGTCAACCAATGTTAGACAGTTGTGAGAGAGGTGGATGGGATTTAATACATCTTGAAGCCATTCTTCCCCCACTTCCCCTATCTCCCAAAATTGGCAAACAACAAGCTAATGCCAAATAGAGTTCTGCATCTATTTCAGCAACAAATGCAAATGCAACTCCCAGCCACTACATGTTTTCTGTTTGCATAGCAGAGAAAAGCAGCACTGGACTGGAATCTGGTTTGTGCTCCT